GGCCGGCCCGTTGCGGTCTCTCTGGCAGACCCCTCTGGAGGTCCTGTCCTTGCTCACTTCTCCACTGTCCTCCCGTGTCCGGCGGCCCCCTCTGGCACCCTGTCTGGTCTCTACCTCCCCTCGTTCTCTACGAACTTGGTGAGTGGTGCTGACCTACAGGATGCGGGGGTTCACCAGTTCACTCCTGCGAGTCAGCGGGTGACCCACTGCACGGACGCTCGGACAGGCCGCCACCTGGCCACGTTTACACGTCGGCCAGGGTCGAGCCTGTACACACTGACCACTGCGTCTCCTCCAGTCCCTGCGTCTGGTCAGGTAGCTGCGTCGGGTCAGGTGTTTGCTGCAGCGTCCAGGTCTGGTCCTGAGTCTGCCCCCTGCTCGTGTCGCCTCCTGTCTCACGAGACTCTCCTCTGGCACCACCGCCTTGGTCACCCCTCTCTGCTTCGTCTCCGGAGCATGGCCTCCCGTGTCCTTGTCTCTGGTCTTCCCCGGTCCCTCCCTCCCCTTCCTCCGGGGCCTGGCCCTACCTGCGTCCCCTGTGTCGAGGGACGGCAGCGGGCTACCCCTCACTCCTCCCAGTTTCCTCCGACAGAGGCCCCGCTGCAGACGCTTCACATGGACGTGTGGGGCCCGGCCCGCGTCCGTGGACAGGGTCACGAGCGCTACTTCCTGCTGGTGGTTGACGACTACTCGCGTTACACCACAGTCTTCCCCTTGCGCAGCAAGGGTGATGTCACTGAGGTGTTGATCGACTGGATCCGCGCAGCTCGTCTCCAGCTCAGGCGGAGCTTCGGCTCGGACTTTCCTGTTCTGCGTCTGCACTCTGACAGAGGCGGAGAGTTCTCCTCTGGCCTTCTGCGAGCCTACTGTCGTGCACGAGGCATCCGCCAGACCTTCACGCTTCCGGACTCTCCACAGCAAAATGGGATTGCTGAGCGCCGCATTGGCATGGTCATGGACGTCGCCGGTACGTCCATGATGCATGCGGCTGCCCCCCATTTTCTGTGGCCGTTTGCGGTTCGGTACGCGGCGCATCAGATCAACCTTCAGCCCAGGGTCTCCATGCCGGAGACCTCCCCAGCTTTGCTGTGGACGGGGAAGGTTGGCGATGCGTCTGCGTTCCGTGTCTGGGGATCTCGGGCGTTTGTCCGCGACTTGTCTGCGGACAAGCTGTCCCCTCGTGCTGCTCCTTGCGTCTTCCTGGGTTTCCCCCCTGACGCCCCAGGGTGGCAGTTCTACCACCCCACCTCTCGCCGTGTTCTGTCCTCCCAGGACGTCACGTTCGACGAGTCGGTCCCCTACTACCGCCTCTTCCCCTACCGCACTCCGTCCCTCCCCCCGCCACCGCTCTTCCTTGTACCAGGTCCCCCCCCGGTAGACCCCCTCCCCCCTCAGGGTCCTGCCCCTTCAGGTGTGTCCCAGGTAGACGCTGTTGAGCCTGTCGAGGTCGCTGGTGACTCTGGTGCTGCTGAGGGTGCTGAGCCTGGGGGTGCTGACTCTGGGGGTGCTGAGCGTGTGGGTGCTACGCCTGGGGGTGCTGAGCCTGGGGGTGCTGAGTCTGGGGGTGCTGAGTCTGGGGGTACTACGACTGGGGGTGCTGAGCCTGGGGGTACTACGCCTGGAGGTGCTGAGCCTGGGGGTGCTGCGTCTGGGGGTGCTGAGCCTGGGGGTACTACGCCTGGAGGTGCTGAGCCTGGGGGTGCTACGCCTGGTGGTGCTGTGCCTGGCGGTTCTCCGGGTGCTCCTTCTCGCCGGGAGCCACTCTCTCCCCAGGAGCTGCGTGAGTGGTTTGCCCGGCGCTGGAGGCGAGCTGCTGGAGCTGCTGGAGCTGGAGGTGCTGCGGGTACTGGAGGTTCTGTTGCTGCTGAGGGAGCTGGTGCCACGGGTCCCGGAGGTGCTCGTACTGGGAGTACTGGAGCTGCTGGACTTGCGGGTACTTCTGGAGCTGGAGTTGCTGCGGGTGTTGGCGCGGAGGCTACTGCTGTCGGTCCTGGAGGCGGTCCTGCTGGGGGTACTACTGGTGCTGCTGGGGGTTCTGGAGCTGGAGCTGCTACTGGCGCTGGTGCTGCCACTGGGGGTGCTGGTGCTGTCCCTCCTGTGTCTGGAGTCGCCGCGCGGCCTCGGCCGTACTTCGTTCCGCTCCTTCAGCAGGTTCTTGGTCTCTCGCCTTCTACTGGTCCTCCTCCTCCCTTAGAGTGTCCACAGCCTGTCCCGTCGCAGTTACAGTTACAGCTGGCCTCCCCACTGCCTGCTCCCTCTCCCTACACTGGTCCTACTGGAGGTCTTGCTGAGCGTCGTGAGCCTGCGTCTCGCCCTGCGTCGCCTGTCCGTGCTGCTCGCACTAGTGGTCGCGGTTCGCGTCAGCGTCCTCCTCCTGTCCCTGGCACGCACCGGATGTCTCTGCGTCCGTCCACTGCTCCTCTGCGTGCCCCTTTGCCTTCTCCTCCTGAGTCTTCTCTTCCTGCTCTTGCCGACCCGGAGTCGGACTCTCTTCGCGCTGCCAGTCCTACTGTCACGCGTCTCCTTGCTACTGTTGTCACTGACCCTTCCTTTGAGTCCACTGCTGCGTCTGCTCTAGTTGCTGAGCTCGTCGACTTTGCCGCTCGCTGTCGCCTAGACTACGTCGCCAGTCTTGTTACTGAGTCTGAGTCTGTCTGTCCTCCGTCCGTCGGGGGTGAGTGTGCCCTTGGCACGGACGTCCTTGAGGACAGGCAGGAGGAGTTCCAGTGCTTGGCCGCTGCTTCACCTCATCTCATGTCCGTACTGCTTACCCCTGAGGGAGACCCGGATGCACTTGACATCCCGACTCCGCGCTCTTACGCGGAGGCGATAGAGGGTCCCTACTCCTCTCAGTGGCAGGCAGCTATGGACGCAGAGATGGCTTCCTGGAAGTCCACAGGCACCTACGTTGACGCTGTTCCCCCTCCTGGGGCGAACATCGTCAGTGGCATGTGGATTTTCAGGGTGAAGCGACCGCCGGGTTCTCCGCCTGTCTTCAAGGCGCGTTACGTGGCTCGTGGCTTCAGTCAGCGGCAGGGAGTTGACTACTTTCAGACCTTCTCTCCCACCCCGAAGATGACCACTCTTCGGGTACTGCTGCACGTAGCTGCTCACCGTGACTACGAGCTACACTCTCTTGACTTCAGCACTGCTTTCTTGCAGGGCAGCCTGCACGAGGAGATCTGGCTGCGTCGCCCACCTGGCTTCACTGGGTCTTTTCCTCCTGGCACCCAGTGGAGCCTACGGCGGCCAGTCTACGGTCTCCGCCAGGCACCGCGTGAGTGGCACGACACACTGAGGACTACACTTGCGGCTCTTGGGTTTGCTCCCTCTACTGCCGACCCGTCGCTGTTTCTGCGCACCGACACTTCTTTGCCGCCGTTCTACATCCTCGTGTACGTCGACGACTTGGTCTTTGCCACAGCTGACACTGCAGGACTAGCCCACGTGAAGTCCGAGCTGCAGAAGAGACACACGTGCACTGACCTGGGTGAACTGCGCAGCTACCTTGGCTTGCAGATCACTCGGGACAGAGCACGCCGCACCATTACCCTGACTCAGTCACACATGGTGCAGCAGGTCCTTCAGCGCTTCGGCTTCACGTACTCCTCGCCTCAGGCCACTCCTCTGCCTACTCGCCACTCGCTCTCAGCTCTGCCTTCGGATGAGTCCGTAGAGTCGAGTGGCCCGTACCCAGAGCTTGTTGGCTGCCTCATGTACCTGATGACCTGCACACGACCTGACCTTGCATACCCTCTTAGCATTCTTGCGCGCTATGTTGCTCCTGGGAGACACAGACCGGAGCACATGGCTGCAGCGAAGAGGGTGTTGCGCTACTTGTGCAGTACGTCGGGCATGGGGCTTGTGCTTGGAGGGCAGAGTCCAGTGGTCCTTACTGGGCACGCAGACGCTTCTTGGGCTGACGACCAGGCTACGCAGCGGTCGTCACAGGGTTACACCTTCAGCCTTGGTTCCGGCTCTGTTTCGTGGCGGGCTACTCGCTCGTCTTCTGTTCTCGGCTCCAGTTGTGAGGCTGAGATCTACGCAGGAGCCATGGCTGCACAGGAGCTTCGCTGGCTCACCTACCTGCTGACTGACCTCGGAGAGTTGCCTCGTGCTCCTCCAGTGCTGTACGTAGACAACAAGGCCATGCTGGCCTTGTGTCGGGAGCAGCGACTGGAGCACAGAACGAAGCACATTGCTCTCCGCTACTTTCTTGCTCGTGAGCTGCAGCAGCGTGGTCAGCTGCGTCTTGCGTACGTGGCCTCTGAGGCCAACACTGCTGATATCTTCACCAAGGCACTTGCGCCTTGTGACCATCAGCGCTTCTGTACTCAGCTGGGCCTTGTGCCTACCTTGCCTCACTTGCTCACCTCTTGACCTTGCTTGTACTGTTACATATATATATACCTGCTCTTGCTTGTCTAGCCTTTTTATATATATGTGTACTCCTGCTTGTGAACTGGCCTTGTGGCCTTGAACTTGTGCTCGGAATGTGTGGTGACTTTGTGATCCACCCTGAGCTTGCTTTGCTTTGCTTTGCTTGACTGGTCTTGTGACCCCTTGTTCTCCCCCACTTTGCCTATGGGGGTGTGTCAGAACATCATAGCTCATGCATATTGTGTAGGCTATAGTGGGGTACTCCATAAGGGGTACAACCCAATTAGGGTTAGTACTTGTACCCAATTCATTCATAGTTCATCCATTCCTGTTTTCTTGATTCACATTTGGCTCTCTCACAAGCTCTCCTACACAACTCTCTCAAGCCACTCTATCAACTCCTTCAAGAAGATTGACACCTACAAGGATATTGGGAGCTAGCTAGAGCTTCAACTTGTATTGGGATTTATTATAAAAGCCTTGGAACTCCTATTATAATAGCCTTGGGTGTTACATCCTCTGTGCCGCCGCGCACACCCCGCGCACACGCCGGGCATCCCCACGCGTCGCGTCGAGCCTGCAGCGCAGCCGTGCATCTGTTCACCGTGCGGCGTCGAGGCATGTCGTTGTCCACGGCAGCTCGCGTTAGACTCTCTCTCATAGGTGCAGCCATCGCGCTGCAGCTCAGTAGCTTTGCAACCACACACGCATACCAAACACACTGTACGTTCCGAACCGTGTATTCTGAACCTCCGTGCATTTCGAACCGTGCCTTCCAAACCGTGCCTTCCGAACCGTGCCTTCCGAACCGTTCCTTCCGAACCGTGCCTTCCGAACCGTGCCTGCCGAACCGTGCTGAACCTTGCATCACATCCCTTGCCCGCTGCGTTGGTGCCGGTAATCGTCCTGGCGTGTGCATTTCCTGTTGCATATTTCCTCCTCTACTCGCTCCCGCCAAGCTGCCAATTATTTCCCTCTTTTCACTTCTCCTGCATCCTTTAAACGTGCTTGTAGCAAATGCAGAGCTTGTGTGTCACATGTGATGATCATTATAGCACGGCTAAGCACGCTTACCAGTCTCACTCCGCCCTGCTCCTCCTCCTGTTCCTCCAGCTCTGCTTGAGCGTCTCACTCCACTGTCTTCATGTAGCTCCCCAGCTCACCCGCAAGGCCTTTCTCGCCCGCAACTGAAAGCATTTCACTGCATGATATTGACATGAAAAGCTCGTGGGCGAGCTAATCTCGGTGTGAAAAATGTGCCTCTCCACCGTCCCCCTCTCTCGTCTCGCCCTCACGCAGTGCCGACACCTCTAGCACGTCTTACGGGCACGAGCAGCGGGAGGGGCATGGCTGATGCGTGCGAGGAGGCGTGGGCAGCAGAGGAGGCAGCGATGAGGGCGCTGCAGGCGGTGATGGGCGAGGTGGCAGCGCTGCAGCAAGAAGTCGCGTTCGTGCGGCAGGTGGCGGCAGTGAAGCACAGTGTGGCAGACGAGGTGGCAGCGATGCGGGGTGATGTGGCAGTGGTGTGGGAATTGGCGGCAGTGAGGAAGAGGGACGTGCAGCGGCTGACAGGCAAGGTGGCAGACCTGAAGAGAGAGAGCTGGGGGGGTGAAGGCGGTGGCTGGTAGTGAGGAGGACGAAAGCAGGGAGATGTGGCACGTGAGTGGCAGTGCTAGCTGCTGCTTTTGGTTCGCCCCCAGCTCCTGTGCGCAATGCACAAGTCGTGCATGGATGGACCTGTCAAAGTATATGCATGTTATATATGTGTAGGCTGTAGTGGGGTAGCCAATATGGGGTACAACCCCTTTTAGGGTTTCATACTTGTACCCAAATCTTTCATAGTTTATTCATCCCTGCTGCTAGATTCTAACATGGTTTCAGAGCACTAGGTCCGTAGGACCGTTTTTTTTCGGGCCCACCTACCGTTGCGGTTACCGCACTACCCCACGTGTTGTCCTGCGCCTGCCTGCCTGCCTGCCTTGCCTTGTGACGTGCTGCGCTGCGCGCACCGTCCTGCAGCCCTCGCGCTGCCTACTGCTGCCCTAGGCCAGAGCGCCGCCCCTGCAGGCCCGTCAGGCCAGAGCGCCGCCCCGCCAGGTCGCTGGCGCGTCAGGCCAGGTCGCCGCCCCGCGCGTCGCGCTGCAGCCCCGCGCGTCGCGTCCGCTGCCCGCGCGTCGCGCTGCAGCCCCGCGCGTCGCGACCGCTGCCCGCGCGTCACGCTGCAGCCCCGCGCGCCGCGGCTGCCGTCCTCGCGCAGCCCGCGGCGGCTTCGCGCGCTGCGCCCGCAGCTCGCGTAGCGCGCTGCAGCCTCGCGCGCCGTGGCTGCCCCTGTTCGTCGCGACACCCCTCCCCCCCTGGACGCCGCCGTCGCTCCTGCAGCAGCTGCCGCGGAGCCTCCTGCCGCGGTCGCGGCCCCGCCCTGCAGCCGTCACGTCCCCGCCCTGCAGCAGCTGTCGCGGACCTGCTCTACCGCCGACGCGGCCCTGCTCTGCCGCAGCTTCGTGGCCTCGCCGTCGCCGCAGTCGTGCGCCTGCCCTTCCCGCCACTGGTGAGCACCTGCCTTGTTCGCGCACTGCCGCACCATCTGCCTGCCTGTCTGCCTACCTGCCTACCTGCGTGCCTGCCGGCCTGCCTGCCTGCCTGCCTGCCGCGCCTGCCCTGCCCGCGCTGCTACTGTTGCTACTGCTGCTCCTTTTGTTACTACTGCTAGGCTGCTGTTGCTACTACTGCTACTGCTGCTACTGGCGGTGGCCAGATGCAGCTCCAGCGACGTCTGCGTGAGTCTCTCACGCCCCAGCAGCTTCTTGAGTGGTACGCTAGTTGGGGTTGTGCCGGTAGTAGTCGTGGCTGTCGCCCTGGAGCTGGTCAGTCGGGAGCGTCTGGCAGTGGCCAGCTGCAGCTGCAGCGGCGTCCACGCGAGACACTTACGCCTCGGCAGCTTCGTGAGTGGTACGCTCAGAGTCGAGGGTCTCGGAGTACCGTTCGCTGCCCGTACGTCGTTTGCACAGGTGATCGGGCTGGTCAGGCTTGCGGGACGCTTGGTCACACACAGTCCCGCTGCTTCGCCCGTCTGAGCGACGCCTGGCGTACCGAGTTTGGCGACGAGGCTGAGCTCCCCACCTGGCTGGAGCTGCTTGAGCAGAGGGTAGATATCTTTGCTCTTGACTATGATGCTATTCTCACTGCCATGTATGCATTGCATACTACTGCTGACCATGCCTGTTACCTGTGCGTACCGCCTGACCCAGGTATAGAGCCTGCTGCTCTAGGTGCTGGTGAGGCTGCTGCTCTAGGTGCTAGTGCGTCTCCTGCTCTAGGTGCTGGTGAGGCTGCTGCTCCAGGTGCTGGTGAGTCTGCTCTCTCTGGTACTGCGCCTGCTGAGGCCTTGTACACCTTCACACTTGACTCAGGTGCTTCCCGCTCCTTCTTTCGCGACAGCACCACCCTCACGCCGCTTCGTCGGCCGGTTGCAGTCTCCCTGGCAGACCCCTCTGGGGGTCCAGTCCTTGCGCACTCCTCCACGGTCCTGCCGTGTCCGGCGGTTCCGTCTGGCTTCCTGTCAGGTCTTCACCTCCCCTCGTTCTCTACAAACTTGGTGGGTGGTGCTGACCTCCAGGACCAGTGGGTTGACCAGTTCACTCCTGGAGGTCAGCGCGTGACCCACTGTACGTGCTCCCGGACGGGCTGGCACCTGGCCACGTTTACTCGTGCGCCTGGCTCGAGTCTGTACACACTGACTACCTCGTCCCCTCAGGTCACTGCGTCTGTGTCTGCGTCAGGTCAGCTAGCGGCCCCCTTCTCGTGTCGAGCTTTGTCGCACCATACCCTCCTTTGGCACCACCGCCTTGGTCACCCCTCGGTGCAGCGCCTTCGTAGCATGCACCGCCGTTTCCTTGTCTCTGGACTTCCAGAGACTCTGCCTCCTCTACCACCCTCGCCTGCTCCTCCCTGTCTTCCCTGTGTCGAGGGGCGGCAGCGCGCCGCTCCTCACTCCTCCTCGTTCCCTCCCACAGAGGCTCCCCTGCAGACTCTCCACCTGGACGTGTGGGGCCCAGCCCGCGTCCGTGGACAGGGCCACGAGCGGTACTTCCTGCTGGTCGTCGACGACTACACGCGTTACACCACGGTCTTCCCCTTGCAGCGCAAGGTAGTCGGACAGTGGGTCGAGAAACACAGTAAGGGACGACTCAGGAGGCTGTGGAAGGACTAGAGGAGGTGGAACATGAGAGCGGAGTACAAGGTGAAACGGGCCGTCAACGCGGTAACGAGACCGACGAGGCTCCGGAGACACAGCACGACTGAGGGGAGAATGACGAGTCCACAGGGATGAGGCAAGGGACTCGACAGGGGAAACAGGAGGGGACAGTAGGGGACCACACACCAAGTGTGCAGGTGCCGGGTCGGGCAGGTCTCTCAGTCGCTGTTGCTCTGCCTCCTCCGGCGTCTGCTGCGGCGGCACCTGCCCCTGCTTCTGCTCCTGGTGTGGCTCCTCCTCTACTCTCTCATGATGCGGCTGCAACTGCACCTGCTGCTACGGCCGTGACTCCTGCTCTACCCTCTCCTGCTGCGGCTGCAACTGCACCTGCTGCTGCGGCCGGGACTCCTCCTCTACCCTCTCCTGCTGTGGCTGCAACTGCACCTGCTGCTGTGGCCGTGACTCCTTCTCTACTCTCTCCTGGTGAGGTTGTGACTCCTCCTCTACTCTCTCCTAAAGCTCTGACCGAGACTGCTCCTGCTCCTGCTGCTGCTGCTGTTGCTTCTGCTGCTGCTGCTGCTGCTGCTGCTGCTGCTGCTGCTGCTGCTGCTGCTGCTGCTACTGCTGCTGCTGCTGCTGCTGTTGCTGCCGCTGCTGCTGCCGTGCCCTCTCAAACCGCTCCCGCTCCTCCCTCTCCAAACGAAGAAGACGCTTCTCACGTGTCAGGAAACGTACAGTGTGCGGTGTAGGCGCCGAGGTGCCAACGCCTCCAGCTCCAGCACCCCCAGAACCAGAACCTCCACGGACAACACCCCCAGGGCCTCTAGTACCTCCGGCAGGAACACCCCCAGATTCTGCAGCGACCAGCCAAGGACGCGAACGAGGAGGGAACAGCGGAACTGACGGGAAGCCAGGGGGTGAGGCGGGGTGAGGCCGCCGAGCCAAAGCAGCCGTGTCCTCCACAGGAGGGGCCTCCACACCTACACCCCCTGCACCCACAGATGCGGCACCACCAACTCCAGTAGCTCCAGGACACGCACCCTCGGCAGCTGCACCTCCCACACCCCCAGACACGACAGGGACTGGACGCGGCAGGGGAGACGACTGTGGAGTGACGTGTGACACACCTGACGGGGCAGGACGTGAAGGGGGGGGGGGGGGGGGGGGGGGGGGCAGGCTACCAGGGCAACTTGGGGAGGGTCAGGGGTGAGGAACAGCGGGGGGGAAAAGGTCTCAGAACCTCGGTGGGGGCGACTCCAATAGTAACAGACCGACTCATCGAAAGTGACGTCCTAAGAAGCGAAGAACTGGTGGGTGACCGGGTCGTAGAACGCCCAGCCGAAAGCGTCCAGAGGGAAGCCAAGAAAGACGCAGGTACGAGTGCGCGCAGACAACTTGTTCATGCCAGGGTGCGAACGTGAGCCAGGAACCCGAGACGCGGTAGTCAGCTGCTACACCCCGAGGACCTATCCAAAGGAAGATTGGCGTCACCCGTGGCCTTGCGTTACTGGGCCACAAAAACGGCGGTGCACCGGCATGGCACATGGAGGTACGGGCAACCTCCATGACTAGGCCGATGTGTCGCTCAGCTACCCCGTTCTGCTGTGGAGAGTCTGGTAGCGTGTAAGACTGGATGATCCCCTGACCCTGACAGAACGCCTCCAGACGAGTGGAAGCAAACTCACAACCACGGTATGAGTGTAGACGAAGTCCACGGAGGCCCTGGGCGCCACCCCTCGCTAGTAGCCACGGCTCAAGGACGGTAGGCACGTCGGCCTTCCGTTGCAAGGGAAAAACTATGGTGTAGCGAGAGTAGTCGTCCACCACAATCAGGAAGTAGCGCTCCTGACGTGGGCCAAGGACGGGAGAGGGGCCCTAGACGTCCAAGTGCAGGGTCTGTAAGGGAGCCGTGGTGGGGGGGAATGAGGAGGTGTGAGGAGCAGCGCGCTGCCGACCCTCAACGCAAGTAGTGCACGATGGCGCATGCGAGCGGGGAAGCAAGGCTAAGGACGCGGGGAGACCTGAGACCCGAAGGTGGCGTACCATCCTACTAAGACGTGGGAAGGACGGGTGCCCTAGACGGTGGTGCCAGAAGACCGAGGGGTGGGTGAGTGACCGACAGTCACGACACAGCAACTACCTGACCTGACTTAACCTGACCTGACCTGACCCAGTGTGGTGGGACCCAGTGTGTAACGTGTACAGACCAAAGCCTGGCTCCCTGTGAAAAGTGGCCAGTGGCGCCCCAGTGGCACCGTCTGTGTAGGAGGCAACAGGCTCGTCGAGAGGGAAAGTGGTGACGACTCCGAGGTCGTGGAGGTGACAGACACCCACCAATTTCCTGGAAAACGAGGGGGTGTAGTAACTTGTACCCCAGAGGGGGCCGCCGGATACGGGATAGTGGTGGTGTAGTGAGCTACGACATGTACTACT